CTCTGGGCCCCGCGAACGAACGCCCAGAAGAGGCTCTGCATTCGTTCGCCAGTGCGGCCGAGCTTTGAAGTTGTAGTATTTCGGTGTGCCCTGGCAATGCTCCCCCCAAAGGGGGTCAGCCTTTCACCCCCTGAACCCGCGGAATCTCCGCGACGGAGGTCGGCCCTCCAGGCTGACCGCACTGCACAGCATGTCTCAGTTGGGAGAGAAAGGTTGTCGTCCCCTATTCGAGACACTCCGTAGACACGCTAACGGCGATGTAGGTAACGGCGATGTATGTTTCGGTGTTGTGGGAACCCGTGGCTCGTGCTCTCCTAAAATTCGTTGTGTCGTTTTCGTTCGATACGTTTGCATGTTGGAGATGTAGGGAAGAGTGGTTCGTGATTGCCTACAGTTTAGTTCCCAACGCCACCGTTAAGCAACATCGCCGTTAGCGCGGTCTTGGATCGGCGGCGAGCGAGGGGGGGAAGTGAGAAGGGGAGGGCCTTCTCAGAAGCTTCGGAAGTTCTGCAGCCTTCTGAGAAGTTTCCCGAGCCTTCCCCGAAGACAGAGCCAACTTCTCGGAAGGCGCGAGGGCTTCTGGGAAGTCCCGCCGCCTTCTGAGAAGGCCTTCTCCTTCGCATTTCCCCCCCACGCCCGCCGCCTATTGGCCTTTGTGCAGGCGTGGGGATTGGCCTTCCTGTCTGCATCCTGCTGGAGTGCATCGTCTGCGCATCCGTCGGCGACGGCCCCCCCTCGGCGGCGAGCGAGGGGGGGAAATGAGACGGAGAAGGCCTTCTCAGAAGGCGGCGGGACTTCTCAGAAGCCCCCGCGCCTTCTGAGAGGCTTTTTTCTGTCTTCGGGGAAGGCTCAGGAAACTTCTCAGAAGGCCGTGGAACTTCCGAGCCTTCTGAGAAGGCCTTCTCCTCATTTCCCCCCCTCGCTCGCCGCCGACCCCCGCTTCTCATGGCCCCTCCGTTGTCGAGTCTCGTCGAGCCCACCTCGCTCGCAGCCTGCGCGGTTGGCTTCTGCGTGGGTGCCTGGACCCGACGGCGCTCATACGTTCAAGCCGGGCTCCAAGATAGTCAAAAAATAGTATGGGGACGACTTTTACAAGTATTTTCAAAGTATTTCTTGCATATGTTTGGGATATTTTTCATTTTTCGTCCAAGATCCGCATGTAGGAGGACACGCCCGACCCACATCTCGTCGAATCCGCCTCGCTCGCAGCCTGCGCGGTGGCTCTGCGTGGATGCCTGGGCCCGACGACACTCACAAAGGTTCTCTTCGCCTCCTGTCTCGGGGGCGTCCGAGGGGTGGAGGGCTTGTCCGGAGGGCTTAGGCGACCAGTCCTCCATTCCTTCTCCTTATCCTTCTCCTCCTCCTCCTCCTCCTCCTCCAAGAACTGTCTTCCTCAGCCGCATCTTGGGCCCCGCTCTTTCAGGATTGGAAGCGTTTATCCCTACTTCGACACAGCTTGAGAAGATCCAGACACGTATTCTGTTGTATGCCAGGAAAGGCCATAAGGGGAGAGGCGACCAAGTACAGAGGTGCTCACATGGTCTCGGTCTCGAACGAGGATGTTTTCAGATACTGGCGAATTGCCCCTCTAGAGATCGAAAATCGTGCCAGGCGAATTGCAAACCTCAAAAACACAAAGCAGATTGGGGGGCTCTCTGGGGAGCGATGAAAGTGGAGGGGGCGGAGGGACTAAATATTATCTCTGACGACGGACGACTCTCGGAATGTGCTTGCCCCTGGGACCGTCGATTCGTAAACGACATCGTCTCGCTCGCGGAACTAGGAGACGACGAGTACGAAAAGATCCAAGAGTTTACCGAAATGCCCTTCCGCCTCTTCAATACCCCCGAGCTCGTCGACTGGTTCACCTCACTGGACCCGAAGGTTATTAGAGCTAAATGGCTTGGCATGTGTATCCCCCTGGCTATATGATGACGAACCCGAGCAACGTAGACGACGAGCCTACTGTAACTAAGGAGCTAACCGAGTATCGATGTCCAGTCGCTCATTGTGTTCGTCAATTTCGCAGTAAGCGTCAGCTCCTCGTTCATTTGCAAAACTACCATGGGCTTCGGTCGGTTCTAGGACAAACCATATATTCGAACCAATGCTTCGTGTGCGAGAGTATCTTCGAATCTCGGATCTCGGCCTACAAGCATGCATGCCAACGTTTCAAGACGGGATTGTGTGTCTATAACAGGAGTTCGACATATCGGCCAGCCGAAATTTTTATCCTCGTATGTCCGTTGTGCGAGGCTCAAGATGAATCGACGCCCGAAATTCTTCGAAGGGATTTCTCGCTCTTGCCAGTAACCGACGATGGAGGAGGCAGCGGACAGCCCAGATTGGTTCATGAAGCCGGCAGGCAAGAGAGGAGCAGACAGCAGCGGCGAACAGAAGGATTCCAAGCTAGCCAAGCTTCAAGACGAGGTGCTCAGCAACAAGGGCCGAGCGGGCTCGGCGCTCGCAGCACTCATCACCATCCTGTGCCGCCTCGCCCTGCACGACAGCCGCGAGTTAGCGTAGCTCATCGGCGCATGTTTCGTTTGCTATATGGCCCCGCCATTCGCGGGAATCACCAATATTGTGCAGACTGCGGGACAGGATAACAACGCCAAGTGCAAGGACAAAGGGCACATATCATGGACTGGGCCCACCGTGGCCAAAAATGTTTATCGGTATGCTTTACTACCTGGCCAAGCAAGCTAGCGACGTCCCCACCCGATCCAACGCGACGTTGACGCGGTACAGGAACACAGTGGTGGCCCTTCCAGAGAAGACAGCGCTCCGCACAGTCCGAGAGCACGTGCGGTTCCTTCGTTTTCGAGCTTGTCACTACGACAAGAAGCAGCACACGGAACCGCATATGTACACGTTTCAGTTCATGGTGCCCCCAGCTCAGCAGACTCTTGTGCTGCGCGACGGGGGCAACACAGAGTTGTTCACCCTTCACGGGGCGATATCGCAGGCGGTGGAGGCTCAGGGGGGCACGTTCAAACCAGGATCGGCGCCGAGAGGCGCAATGGAGAGGGATGCGGAGACGTGGCTGGACCGCATCGGCCTGTCGCACGAGGCCGTTCAAAAACAGGTTCACAATAAGTAGCGCGGCTTGCTATTATCAGTGGATCCGAGCGGATGCTCGAACTATTGCAAACTTGAGTTCTGAAGGATGAGGCGCTCGCCAAGCTGCAAGCTAAACCCGCTAGGCCCATTCCAGAGTATCAAACGGGCAGTAGAAAGCTTTACATCGGAGCCCCAGTGGAGCCTTGTGTAGCTATTGTAGCTTTGCTCCAGAGGTCCTCCAGGGTCCGAAGAATGAATGGTGACCTCTCCCTCTCCTCGGTTGAGCCCCCTTTCCCCCTCCCTCTGCTCGCTCCGCCCCTTCCCCCTCCTCAGGCGCCTGACCCCCAACAGGCCGTGAATGAAAGTTAGTATATTGTATGGTTGCGGCCTCTTGGCTCGCACCTAGAGCTCTCAGGGGATAAGGTGCCTCTGGGCGGCCTTGGAGGGGTCGTCTTGCCCCTATCTGGTCCGTCCGCAGGCCAGAGGGATCCCCCCGCAGGGCCGCTGGTAGGCGCTCACACACAGCGTTCACGGAGCCATTTCCATATTCTCTGCTTGCCTGAATTCAGGCCCCCAAGGCTACTTCTCAACTAGACGGTGACACATTGGCTAGTAGGTGCTTTTGTCTTGTCCTCCTCCTCCTCCTCCTCTTCTCTCCTCCTCCTCCTCCCCCCCTCCTCCTCCTCCTCCTCTTCCTCCTCCTCCTCCTCCTCCTCCTCCTCCTCTTCCTCCTCCTCCTCCTCCATTCCTTCTCCGAATAGATAACTCCTTCCCGTCGCACCCCGAGGCCAGTTTTTAGGGCGGGCAGGGTTTTCGCCTGAAGCTTCCGCACCGATCATGATCCTGAAGCTTAAAAACTGACAGCAGTTTCACAGACGGAGGGCGGGCGGTTTTCAACGTGTGGCTCTCGCCTCAGCGCTGCGCATATTCGTTGCCACATGTTGCAAGGGTTTCGCGGGTTTAGGGCGTGGCTCTCGCCCTAGTGCCGCGCACATTCGTTCTGAACATTTGCAAGAGCTTCACGGACTGAGGGCGGGTCGTTTTTAACATGTGTCTCTCGTTTTAGCGCCGCGCGCATTCTTCGTAAACAAGTGCAAGCGTTTCACGAATTGAGGGTGGTTCCATTTCAAAATGTGGCTGTCGCCTCAGCGCCGTGCACATTCGTTTTACGTTTTTTCCAGGAATTTCACGGATTTCCATGACCAGCGTACCACAATTGTGTTCTGGAATGGTTCAGGATTATGCGGGTGCAGCGGTTATGTTGAATCGCGGTGTTGAAATAAAATAATGGCGTGATGGCACGATTCCGGATCACCCAAACGCAGCAGTCAGGTTGATACGTGGCGTTGAAATCCCGAGAACAATGCTTTGGTATGTTTCAGGATCTTCAAACGGATGTTTTCCAACGGGGCTGTTCCCTCAATGGAAATGAACCGTTGTAGGGACCTATGAAGAGGAAACTTGGAGGGAGGGTTAATTCCAACATCATTGATGACTCTTGGGTTTACACTGGTCCTCCTCCTCCCTCCTCCTCCTCCCTCATCCTCCTCCTCCTCCTCCTCCTCCTCCATTCTCCTCCCCCTCCTCCTCCTCCTCCCCCTCCTCCTCCTCCTTCTCCTCCTCCTCCTCCTCCTCCTCCTCCTCGGGTCGCCTACTGCCCTTGGGGAAACCATGCACGGAGCGGGGGGTAGAGGATTCAGATCTGCCCGATGCCACTGCCGTCTCATCCTTTTCATCCCACGCGTTCCCTGGGCCGCTCCCTCCTCCGCGCACGCGCCGCGGGCAACAATGCGCTTGGCCCCCTCGTTCGGTAGGGAATCACAGGAGCCTTGTATGTCCCCGGAATTTCATCTCGAGAGTGCCGCTGGCGTGTGGCGATCGATGAGACAGCGCCGATATAGCGTCGACCTAATTACCGTCGATTCAGCGTCGGCCAGCGTCGAGTAGCGTCGGCCAGCGTCGATCCACACGAGCCATCAAGATGGCTTGGGAGGTCCCTACGAGCCGCCACAGAACTCTCGTCCTTTGCATCCCCCCTCTGGCGCACGTCCCCTGCCGCCGCGACCGGAGCGGCCACGCCGCGTTGGGGACGATTGCCCCCGCGCCCCGCCACGTGGCGCAGGCCACACGCTCCGCTCGCGGCCACGCCGCCCGGCCCCCCTCCCGGGCTCCTTCCGATCCCCCCGCTTCGATGCGATGCGATTTCGCTCGATTCCGATCCCGATCGTTCGGATGCAACTCCTGGGAGGTCAAATTCCGATTTTGCCCTGGTACAAAATCCGGCTTAATCGGGCTTAGCCCGGGTTGATCCCGCTTAATCCCTCTTAATCCAGCTTAATCCGAGCCCACTCGGGCATGACATGACCCCAATGGGGCTTAATCCTCTTTGATCTTTCCGACGAAGACCTCCCAGCAGATGCCCATGACGATCGGATCCGACTCCGGACTCCGATTCGGGCCTCGGTTTCTCAATGGAGGCCTCACTGGTTTGCCGACTCCCGCCGAGCCGACTTCTCTCTTTATCGGCGGGTCTGCCGTGCCCTTTTGCCCATCCGATCCGCGGCGATCGGCGATCCGACGTGCGGGTTCGGCTCGATCCTGGGCGCCCGCCTGCCTGCCCGCGACGTCGGCCTGCCGGGGATCGGGCCTGCCGGGGCCCGCCAGGGCCGGCTTGTCACCCCCGAGGGGGCTGTCGTGGACGGCCCCCCTCGGGGGGCCGGGAGAGGCGGCCTGCATCGGGAGATCCTCGGCCTCGGGGCCGAAGGTCTGTGCGGTCGAGATCGGTACACGAAAGGGGCGATTCGGCGGCGAGCGAGGGGGGGAAGCGAGGCGGAGGAGGCCTTCCCAGAAGGCGGCGGGGTTTTCTCCCAGGCCCTGCGGCTTTCCGAGAAATTTTCCGTGTCTTGTGGGAAGGCTCAGCAAGCTTCGCAGAAGGCCAGAGGACTTCCGAGCCTCCTGAGAAGGCCCGCCCCTTTTCACTTCTCCCAAGGGCGCGCCGCCAGAATAGTGACGAAGGCCGACAGCAGATCCCATCCATTTTGAATATGACTCGCTGTCAGTGTCGCCGCGGGACGTTGCCTGCCCCACAGCGCCCGCTGGCGGTTCCAGAGAACAGCTAAGAGCTGACGTTGGGCGTCGTACGGTAGGTTCGCGCTGCGTTGACCTGGCAGCGGCCCCTGCGCAGGCGTTCAAAATGGAACTCCGCCAGTGGCGCAGAACCGTAAGATATCGAGCGATCTGCTTTACTCAGTATCGTTTAACCGATCCCCATCCCCATCCCCATCCGCATCTCGAGCTCCATTGTCTCACCACCTCAGTTGGGGATATGCACCTCGAAGCCCGAAGAGAGCAGCCTATATCCCCATCAGGGGGGTACATCGGCCACTTAGGCCCAGCCCCCGCTGGTGAGGATGGGGATCGGTTAAACGACGCTCGTCTACCCGAAAGCCGCGATCGTTCGAGGTCGAACAATCCGCACGGTGTCAGAAAGCAGCGCAGACGTCATCACGACTCGAACCTGCCGTGCCCACCTGTGCCGCATCCGGCTCGGGCGTGCCAAGAGAATAAACATCAGCGGGCTCTTGCGAATTCAGGCTGCCCGACGCTAATCGACGTTAACTCGACACACCTCGACGCTCAGTCGGCGCTCTCTCCTCGTTGACCAGGCGCTGATCGACGCGAACGTTGGGTCGAGCGTGTCCCCCTACAGGCGGATCTCGGGCGAAAATGAAGAATGGGCAGGAAATCAAGAAAATGCTCAAGAAGGATCGAACGGTGGTCCAGACGATGTGTGACTAGTTCTGAGTACTCCTCCTGTAGGAGGGACAGGCCCCAGCTAAACGCTAACGCACCCTGAACACGTGACCACGAAGGTGTAATTACAAGGCTCCCGCGAGTTACCGCCGAAGGCGATGCCGAATCGGCCCTCCTGGGAGCTGCCCTCGCTGGGCCTCGGCGGCCCGCGGGCGGCCCTCGCTCGCACGCCCGGCCCCCTCGGATCCAGGCGCTGCAGCAGGAAGCGCGTTTGCTCGTTGTCTTGGCCCTCCCATCGCTGATGACGAGGACGAGGACGAGGACGGGATGGGGATGGGGAGTGAGGATGAGGATGATCGTGATGATCGTGAGGATCGTGATGATCGTGATGATCATGATGATCATCATGATCATCATGATCCTGATGATGACGATGGTAGTGGTGATGAATATGATGCGAATGATGATGATGGTGATGACATGAGTACGATGACGATACTGATGATGAGGATGAAGAAGATGATGATGATGGTGATGATGATACTGGTGATGATGATGATGACGATGCTGAGGAGGATGATGATGATGGTGATGGTGATGGTGATGGTAATGATGATGATGATGATGATGGCGACGGTGAAGATGGTGGTGATGACGGTGATGGTGATGATGATGACGCTGATGATAATGATAATGATGATGATGATGCTGTTGATGATGATGGTGATGATGATAGTGTCCCGATGATTATAATGATGATGACGATGGTGTCCCGATGATGATGATGATGATGATGATGATGATGATGATGATGATGATGATGATTTTGATGATGATGATGATGATTATGATGTTGATGATGAGGATGCTGATGAGGTGATGATGATGATTTTGATGATGGTGGCCCACTGGTGGTGATGATGATGCTGATGATGATGGTGTCCCGATTCTGTTGCTGATGATGGTGATGATGATGGTGACGATGATGATTGTGTTCCGATGATGATGATGATATTGATTATGATGATGATGATGATGATGATGATGATGATGATGATGATGATGTTGTTAATGATGATGATGATGATGGTGGTGATGATGATGATGATGGTGTCCCGATGAAGATGATGTTGTTGATGTTGTTCATGATCATGATAATGAGATGATGATGGTGATGATGATGCTGATGATGATGATGATGATGATGGTGGTGGTGTTCCGATGATGATGATGATGATGATGATGATGCTGATGGTGTCCCAATGGTGATGATGTTGATGATGATGATGGTGGTGACGATGAGGGTGTCCCGATGATGGTGATGATGATGGTGATGATGTTGATGATGATGCTGCTGATGAGTCGATGATGATGGTGTCCCGATGATGCTGATGATGATGTTGATGACGTTGATGACGTTGATGATTTTGATGATGATGATGAATCTGATGATGATGATGATGATGATGATGATGATGATGATGATGCTGATGATGATGATGCTGATGTTGATGATGATGATGCTGATGATGATGATGATGATGATGATGCTGATGCTGATGATGATGATGATGATGATGATGATGAAGATGATGTTGTTGATGTTTATCATGATCATGATAATGAGATGATGATGGTGATGATGATGCTGATGATGATGATGATGATGATGGTGGTGGTGTTCCGATGATGATGATGATGATGATGGTGTCCCAATGGTGATGATGTTGATGATGATGATGGTGGTGACGATGAGGGTGTCCCGATGATGGTGATGATGATGGTGATGATGTTGATGATGATGCTGCTGATGAGTCGATGATGATGGTGTCCCGATGATGCTGATGATGATGTTGATGACGTTGATGACGTTGATGATTTTGATGATGATGATGATGATGATGATATGATGATGATGATGATGATGATGATGATGATGATGATGATGATGATGATGATGATGATGATGATGATGATGATGATGATGATGATGATGATGATGATGCTGCTGCTGATGATGATGATGATGATGATGCTGATGTTGATGATGATGATGATGCTGCTGATGATGATGATGATGATGCTGATGATGCTGATGATGATGATGATGATGATGATGATGATGATGACGTTGATTGTGATATCGATTGTGCTATCGATAGTGAGATCGATAGTTAGACCGAATGTGTTATCGATTGTCAGATCGATCGTGAGATCGATTGTGAGATCGATCGTCAGATATATTCTGAGATCGATCGAATGACATCGATCGAGTGAGATCGATTGTGAGATCGATCGAGCGAGATCGATCGAGCGAGACCGATAGTGAGATCGATAGTGAGATCGATAGTGAGACCGATCGAGTGAGGCATTGGTTGCTCCCCCCCGAACCTCCTTATCACCCGAAGGGTGGTCGTATAGGTAAAAGACGATTTTGAGTACTTTTGCTATCTATTTTTCGTCCAAAATCCCTCTGCAGGGGGACATGCCCGGCATGTCTGGGGATCCTCGCAGGACGCGTAAGGGGGGGGGGCGACTAAGGGGGGGCGGCGAGGGTTGCAGAGCAGTGGCCCTTCAGGGGCCCTCAGGGGGCCCCGCAGGGCCCCAAAGCGGGTTTGCAGGGCCCGACTAGGGCACCTTTCTCCCCCCCCAATTCTCGCCCCCCGTTCATTCGCGCTCAAGATTTGGATACGCTCGCCGCTGGTGGCTGACGCTGCCCCTCAGAGGCAGGAGTGGAACAAAACGGACGTACACGCACATGAGTCCACGCTGGCTTCGAGAGCACGCACTGCGCGAACGTTCGCCTCGCCCGACTGGTCTTGCGGATTGGGGGGCCGTGTTCATGTACTCACCACCCACCAAACCACCCCAACCCAACCCGAAGGCTCAGATTTACCCTCGATTTCCAGTTGGGGGGGGTCGGGAAACATCGAAAAAACACGTGTGGAACCCTTACCCCCCCCAACCCGAAATTCGGGTCTTCGGGTTGGGTTGGGGTGGTCTGGTAGGTAGTCATGTACATGGTTGGGCCGTCCCTTTGTGGGCTCTCTACTTGTGCATATAAGGGGGTCCCCGCGCGGGAGGTCCGCGACGAGCTGCTGGGGTGGCTGCAGCGCCTGGAGCGCGAGGGCTGCAGCCGGGTGCTGCTGGTGCTCGACGGCGCCGCCCGGCCGCCCCTTTCCCGTGGGCCGCGCCGCCGCCGCTGCGTCGCCGCAGCGCGTCGCCGTCGCCGTCGCCCGCCGTCGCCGTCCCCGTCGCCGTCGTCGTCGTCGTCGTCGTCGTCGTCGTCGTCGTCGTCGTCGTCGTCCTCGTCCTCGTCCTCGTCCTCGTCCTCGTCGTCGTCGTCGTCGTCGTCGCCGCCGCCGCCGCCGCCGTCGTCGTTGTGGGCCCGAGGCCAGGGCCCGCGCGTGCTCGGCAGGCACGCCGGAAGGAGACCGCTGGGGCGCGGCACCATGGGGTGTTTTCCGCAGCCCGGCTGCGGGGATGCTCCGCAAGGGGCGGCGCTCAAGGCATGCCCACCCCCGCGGAGAGTCACCACCCGCCAAACCACCCCAACCCAACCCGAAGGCTCAGATTTACCCTCGATTTACCCTCGGCAAAACGCATGTGGAACCCTTACCCCCCCAACCCGAAATTCGGGTCTTCGGGTTGGGTTGGGGTGGTCTGGTAGGTAGTCAGAGAGGGGGTCCAGGCGGGGTGTGGGGGTTCGGCCACGTCGACAGACATGTGGCCGCTGAGCGATGTAGCGATGTAGGTTGGGGTGGGGGCGCTCTTTTGCCCCGCAATCTTGGCCCCCCCCATCGTAGCTTGAGCGAGCGTCGACGGCCGCATGGCTGCGGCGGGGAGGTGTGGTGTTCTTGAACACATTTGCTGCGCCGTGCACTGTCTTGTGCGCGGTGACCGCGGTATTGGTATTTATCCCGCGCAGGTATCCCCCCGCGATGCTTTGTCCGCACCTCGAGACAGCTGTTCAGTAAGTCCAGGGTTGGGACGGGGCTTGTTGGCCTGCTTACGCATTCGAATAGCTGGTGCTGATGGGTTTGCGTCGCAGCATGCATTGGGCCGCGCGCCATGTCGCTGGGGTGCCTCGTCGACACAGTATGCGGCATTTGCCGCGAGGTGGATGGCACTGTGCGCCAGAGGTGGTAGCGCTGCCCTTGCTCGCCGCGATCTTAGGCGTGATGTATTGAAGGTCGAGGTCCATCATTGGGCAGCTGAGGCGGCGGGTTTGGTCATTTGGCATCCGGCAACATTTTGCGAATGAGGTTGTTGTTTGCGGCTCTTCTCTGACACATGGCGCGGTTAAATTGTCCCGCCTTTGTTGGGTCGCCACCTTGCTGAGCCTGCGTGCGAAACAGCAGCTTACGATTATCCGATGGCCTTTCTGCTCTTCCCATCCCCCCCCGCCCCCCCCCTTCCCGCCGCCACTACAGCCACCACGGCCGCCTGCAGAGTTCTTAGTATAAGTTCCTGCGATATTTATAGCTTCTGTCTCGACGGTGCAGAGTGTTGTAGATCGCCGCCTTGACAGGCACAGGGTCAGCCAGATTGGACATGCCAGTTCTATGCGGGCTAAACCCAGTTCATTCAGTCAAGCCGGGCCAGCCTGCGCTCCAGTGAGGCTGAAGCTCGCCACAGTCTAGAAGATGCCGCCGATGACCGTGCGCATGTCCTCCGCCTGGGGGGGGACCCTCCAGGATGCCTAGCCGAGCTAACTACTCCGACCCCCCCAGATGGTTCCAGCCGTGCTTGCCGCACATCTGCGGGTCGCTCGTGCGGGCGGCGGGTTTTGGCTGGCTGCTGAGCTCGTCCCCGAGCGGCCGCCGCCTCCCCCCCGGGGTCCCGACGCTGCGCGCGAGCGTGGCGCAGGCCCCGGGAGGAGCGCCCGCGCCCCGCACGCGGAGGAACGTCAAGAGCTCCCTTTGGCAGTGCCATACAGTCAACGCGCCTAGTAAGGATGATGGGCCGGTTGTCCACCACCATTACCACCACCATAAGTTGGAGGGGGGAAGGAGGTGCGGGATGAGGAGGAGGACGAGGAGGAGGAGGAGGGCCCCCTCCCCCTCCTACTTATGGTGGTGGCGGTGGAAAACAAGCCCACCAAAGGACGCGCGCCTTCATCCAGGGCACCCCTGTGTCCTTGCCTCTGCGGCTCGTCCTTTGCAATTCTCGCTGGTCGCCCGCCGCCCCAACAAAATCCCAGCCTCGGCCTCCAAGGGTCTTGCGTCCTTGGCACCCGTCCTCAAGACGCGTCTTGATTGTCTTCGCCTCGCCGAGGCCCGAAGCGCAAAGGCCCCAGAGGACGCGCGTCTGGTGGGTGTAGTGGCGAGCTCCTTCCTCCCCAACCTAGTTCTTGCCGTGGGGTTGGTCCTCCCTGGGGTCCGGAGGCCGGTCTGCGCATCGTGAGCTGGAGGGTTTCTCCGAAGGGGTAAGGCGACCCGTTCTCTTCCTCCTTCTCCTCCTCCTCCTCCTCCTCTTCCTCCTCCTCCTCCCCGTCCCCCTCCTCCTCCTCCTCCTCCTCCTCCTTCTCCTCCTCCTCCTCCTCCTCCTCCTCCTCCTCCATCTCCTCCCCCCCTCCCCCTCCTCCTCCTCCTCCTCCTCGGGTCGCCTACGCCCCCGGGGAAACCGTGCACCGTGAACATGGCTGCGCTGCCTCGGATCCTCGGGGGAGCTTCGGCGTGCTCCTCCGGTTGCAGAGCTTGCAGTGGTCCTTGCTCCTTCCCCCATCCCTTCCTCCTCCTTCCTCCGTCCGCCTTCCTTCCACCTTCCTCCTCCCGTCCTCCCTCCCTCCTCCCTCCTCCCTCCTCCCTCCTCCCTCCTCCCTCCCTCCTCCCTCGAACTTCCTCCAGCCTCTCCCACCCCCGCTCTCCTGCAGGAGGTCCCCCCCGCGTGGTGCAGGGGCCACGACTTGCTGGATTCGTATCTGGCGTGCTCTGCACTCGAAGCGTGATGGCGTCGCAGTGGGGATGGGGTCTTTGGTCAGAGTCCGGGCGTCTCTGCTTCCAGGGCGCGCCTGGTACGTCACCCGAGGTGGACCTGTTACAGTCGAGAGATCCCTTCTCCCTCCTCGTTCATCCCTCCTGCCTCCTCCCGCCCCCTTCAGCCGCTAGCCCTCCCCTCCCTGCCCCCTCCCCCTCCTCCCCTTCCTCTCCCCTCCTCTCCTTTCCTCCACATCGTCGACCTGGGCGAGGGCACCCTGGCAGCTCGCGCGGCGGCTGCTGGACCCCGCGCTGCTCCGCTGCGGGTCACGCAGAGGCCAGGGGGTGCACCTGGTGTTCACGACAGCCGCAATAGGCAATAGGCGATAAGCTGTGATGGTGATGGCCACTCCTTGATCTTTCATCCCTCTCGCCGTTAGTCTTCCTTTCGGCCCATCGGGCTCTGGCTCACTTCCCGGTGTCTGGGCCTTCGCTTAGTTTGTGTTCAGGGATTGGGGTTTCCGTCCCCGAGTTGTAAGACGGTCTGACGGCGGCATCACTCGATCTCATGGCTATTCCTTTCTTTCCCCTCCCACCTTTCCTCCTCCCCCCCTGCCTCTGTCGTCGTCGTCGTCGTCGTCGTCGTCCCTCCTCGTCCCTCGTTGTTCTTCGTCGCCCCTCGCCGCCGTCGTCGCCGTTGTCGCTCCTCATCGTCAGCGTCAGCATCGTCGTCGCCGCCGTAGTCGTCGCCGCCGCCGTCGCTTCTCTTCGCCGTCTTTCGTCGCTCCTCGCCGTCGTCCGTCTCTCGTTTGTCGTCCTTCGTTCGTCGTCACCGGACCCTCGACCCCTGTCGCCTGTCGTGGCAGGCATCGAGGACTGGGTGGACAGCGCCGAGGTCCGCGCCGCCATCGCCGACATGCTGCAGAGCACCGAGCGCCTGTGCCTCGTGTTCGGGAGCAGGACGCGCTCGGCTGCCGCCGTCGTGCACCACCGCCACCGCGGCCGTGGCCGCCTCCGCCGCTGCGGCCTCCGCCGACGCCGCCGTCGTCTTGGTGGCCTAAGTGGCAAGGGTGTGGTTTTCGAGGCCAGGGGTTGTTATCTGTCGCAGTCGGGGTGTGCAGGGCAGCAGGCGCCCGCAGACCGGTCTTTGCATGCTCGGGCGACCTTCGGAGGCCCCTCGGAGGCGTCGCCGTCGTCGTTTGTCGTCGTCGTGGGCTTCGGCCGTCCCGTCGCCAGAGGAGGAGCGGGAGGAGAAATGGAGCAGGAGGACGACAAGGCCTGGTTGGGAAGAGGGGTAGGAGGAGGAACTGTGGAGGAGGAGGTGGACGATGATGATGACGATACTGACGATGATGTGGATGAGGGTGGTGATGGCGATAAGGATGGGGCTAAGGATGATGATGCTGTTGCTGCTGATGATATTGGTGGTGGTGATGCTGATGATGATCATGATGATGACGGGGAGGAGGATGAGGAGGAGGAGGAGGAGGAGGAGGAGGAGGAGGAGGAGGAGGATAAGGTCGACACAGAGGATACATTATGACGATGGTGATGCTGATGATGATGACGATGACGATGATGATGACGATGATGCTGATGATGAGGATGCTGAATTTGATGATGATGAGGAGGATGATGACGATGCTTATCATGATGGTGATGCTGCTGATGAGGATGATGAGGATGACGAAGAAAGGTAGGATTCTGATGACGATGATGAAGCTCGTGCTGATGGTGGTGGTGACGGTGATGCTGCTAGTGATGGTGATGGTGGTGATGGTGAGGATGATGATACTGATGATGGTGCTGATGCTGATGGCGATGCTGATACTCATGGTGCTGATGATGCTGACGATGGCGAGTGCGATGACGATGACGTGATGATGATGGTGATGCTGATGATGGTGATGATGCTGATGCTGAGAATGATGCTGACGATGGCGATGGCGATGCTGATGATGACGATGCTGATGCTGGTGATGCTGAGGCTAATGATGATGCTGATGACGCTGATGATGCTGATGATGATTATGATGATGCTGATTCTGATGATGACGACGATGCTGCTGGTGATGCTGATGATGATGACGGTAGTGGTGGTGGTGGTGATGATGCTGATGCGGATGCTGATGTTGCTGATGATGATGGCGATGGTGATGATGCTGCTGCTGATGATGTTGACGAAGAATGAGGAGTATGCTGACGATGCTGATGCTGCTGCTGATGATGTTGTTGAAGCTGATGATCAGGATGATGATGATGCTGAGGAAGATGATGATGATGATGATGATGATGATGATGATGATGATGATGATGATGATGATGATGATGATGATGATGATGATCCTGATGATGATGATGATCCTGATGATGATGCTGCTGATGATGAGGATGTTAATGCTGCTGATGCTGATGATGATGAGAATGATGACGCTGATGCTTACGAGGTTGACGATGCTGATTATGAGGATGATGTTGCTGATGCTGATGCTGATGCTGATGCTGTTGATGATGATGATGAGGAGGAGGAGGAGGAGGAGGAGGAGGAGAAGCAGGAGGAGGAGGATGAGGAGAAGCAGCAGGAGGAGGAGCAGAGGAGGATCAGAACCGCGTGCCCGAAGGATTCAGGCGGCAGCTATCCATCATGTGTGCGCCCGCGTACAATACCAGCTCCACTACCACATCCTGTTCCATCTCTCCACGTAGACCTTCTTTTGTCCCCTTCAGGTTTCTCCAGGAATTTCGCCAACTCCCACACCGGCGCGCAGCGCCACCACGACTTCTACCTGGGAGCCCACAAGGCACCGCCGTGAGCTTCGTGAGCGAGCAGCAGCCCGCATGCTACTTAGAGTCGCAGCTGCACGGCCACCACCCGAAGCACACCGCAGTGTTCAGCAACCGCCGCGACATCCACCACATGCTCCAGCACAACAGTAGCAACACCGCGGCAGTCAACATCGAGCCGAACGCCGAGCAGGGGTCCATCCGCGCGACCTGCGACACCTGCGATTTGTGCGGAACTGGGTAGGTGGAGGAACGACCGTCGGGCGGCACGATCGGCAGCCCAAAATCTTGACACCTACTGAGACCAGGGCACTGAGAACAAAAACAGCAAACGAACCAACGGTAAAGGGCAATGGCGGCTTCCCCAAGCCTTACGACGACCGCGCCGAGGACAACAGCATGCCACATAAAGGGAATAACAGAGCGACAAGAACTGCACTGGCCAAGAGCAGACAACGTGGGGCAAACCAGAACTACAACGACCATGTCGCCAGGACCATCAACTGTCTACGCTACCAGGAGGCCCCGCTGGGAGACGCCACCAAGCGACCACCAAAGGCCACGTGGTGGAAAACTCAGGTCGCAAAGCTACGGCAACTGCTGTGGCCATCGTGGAAAACAATGCTGCTGGGCTTCAGACTTTTGTCGCCGCCGTCCGCACCGCCTTCGTCAAAACCATGATCATTAGCAGCATGTCGATCGCCAAACAAACCAGAAACATCGAACGCGCCGAGGATGCCAAGGTGGACCACCTCGAGTACACCAGAGTGCACCGTGAGGAGATGGGGGTGCACATGTCAACCTTGGAGGGGGAGATCACCGAATTCCGAATCAACCTGGGGGGGCATAAATTACACCGCGGACGACGCATGCCACGACTCAGGGGCCACCGGCGACCGGGCGGAACGACCCCGCCGGGAAGGCCAACCGAGGAAGGCCGCAACGCCATCGCCTTGGAACAGGAGACAGACAAGGCGTGGGGGCCGACAGGAAGTGAGTACATCGGCGCCCCTGCAAGCGCTCACGGAGGACAGCCAACACCTCGTCCAGGACGTCAGGGGCAACAGGAAAGAAACCAAGGACAAGTTCGATCACCCGCACAACACGAGCGACGAGCTTGACACCGCAAGAGAAGAGCCTGGAAGTTTGCGGCTGGAGCTGCGATAGCACCGACGAGGGGTCGAGGCTGACGTAGAGAACGAGCGGAGGAAACAAGGGCATACCACCAACGAGGTCGGTCGAGCTCAGAGCAGCATGCAGGAGGAGCTCGCCGATGCCATGGTCACTCACGGTAAGATGGCCGTGCGCAACGACTGCGCGCAAGGACCACTTACATCCGAGCTCCACAAACTAGGGGGGGAGGGCATTTTCATCGCGTCAAGAAGACCAACATCGGCCTCCGAAAATATATTAGCTGCCGCAGGACAAGACGGCCTGCGTCGCCGGCATTAAAAGAATATAGCAACAGCTCGAACGCCGCGGCCAGAACAGCGACACCAGGCAACCGCGCATGCAATGTTACGACAACCTCCCGGAGGGGCGTTTGCGCTCTGTTCAGAGAGGTGAGCGAGTCAGGGCACCACGTCTCCGTCATCGAAGCACAGAGACTTAATGATTGCGGTAAGCATGCGGGGCTCCGCAGAGGTATGCCGAGCTCCGACGACCTGTTTCGCGCCGCCTGCGTGGACCTGCGCGACCTGGAAAGACGCGCGGAGGCCGCCGCCCGAAGCGTGGCCGAGACATGCCGACATAATGTCATTGACATCGGAAGACAAGTGCGATCTAGAGATTCCGAACGCGCACCGTATCGTTACCTACGGGGCAACGTGGGCATCATTGGAGTGAAGGGGTGCCAGGGGCAGGCGCGACAACGCGCGGGCCAATCAGAAGGCCACTAATTTGTCCCACTTCGAGCGGGGGATGGCCCCTTCAGCGGGGCGAGGCCCTGCGAGCAGAACCGGGATGCGTGGGGGGAATCGAGCGCCATCCACTGGGGGCGCGCCGAGGTGGCCGCGCAGGAGTAATTCCACTCGCAGCACGCAGCAGCCCAGGCGCAACGGCGCCCGTCGCACGTCGAGATGCTAGACCAGCTCGGGCAGGCGCCATCCACCAATATCCCCAGCGACGCCGATTGGAGCGCTTTTCCAGCATCCGTTGGATCATATGCCCGCGCAAGGCGCGCTTCAGGGCGCCGCGCAGCCTTCTCGGGCTGAGAGCGGCCGGGCAGTCAGAGGTGCCGTCGGTCAGAGAACAGTCGTGGCCCCCCATCACAATGCGACCAGCTGCGTGCGCAGATGCCGGCGGGGCAGCAGCAGCGCCGCCTGGGGCGCGAGTCCCATCCAGTGGCCCCGACGCGCAGCGCTCGCCCACTGGGCGACGACCAGAGCGGAGAAGACGCCAACCCGCCGCCGGGGTGGCAGGTATGCGACGCGCCGCGGCCAGCGACGCCCACTGCGCGGACGCCGAGGTCAGTGCCGCCACGTCAATGACATCGGGGCGCCAACGCAGAGACCGACATGGAACGCTACTGACGTCGTGATCCTAGTCGCGCTACCGCCGCAGAAGAAGAGCGGCGACTGCCTGGCGTCCGCCGACGGGGTGGCCCAGCAGGCGCCGCCGCCCCTCGCGGGATCTCCATGGGCACGCCAGCAAGATGGACATCCTTACTGCACGTTGCATTGGCGCTCGCGCCGCCAGGACGCACGGGGGCAGTTCAACGAAGTAATCTCTACACTGATGAGACGCGCCAGTCGGTCTCGACCAGGGTTGCGTGGGCCGCTGTCATCGCGGCCGAAGAGGACCGAGGTTCTGCAAGCTCGGGGTGCAAGCGCCGCCTCAATCGGCGATCGCGGCAAGGCCGCGCCCTCTATGTCAGCGCAGGCAGCTCTCGCCAGGGGGCGCGCCTGGGTCCGCGCGCAGAAGATGCATGCGACAGCGCCCCTGTAACTGCGCGCGCTGACCGCGGGTGTCAAAAGGTGTTGCTGAAGGGCGATGCAGAGCGCGGGCCAGCCGCGACGCGTTCGCCGCGACCAAGCAGCTGCGCGGCCCAGCGGCATCATCCGCCGACCTCCATGGCGACTGTTTACAAGCCCGCGTGGCCCACCCGTGGAAGGAGCTTGCAGCGCAGACTCAGTCGTTGGGCGGCAAGGCAGACGCGACGACCCCAAGCCGCAACCCTACCGGGTTGATGCCTTCGACGCACCGAGCCAGCGGCAATGGGGATGGTCGCGCCAAACCGACGAAGGAACGAAGAAGGGGCATCCCGCGACTGCGCCCACGGCGGTAGCGGCACCTCGGCACTTCCAACCGCCCGCGGTGGCCACCTTCTGCGCGCGCATCTTCAAAGAGCCAGCCCGCGCTGGCAGGGGGCAGCGCCGCAAGATCTCCGGGGTCGAGGCGAACGTGCGCCAGGACTGGGACATTCAAATTGGTTTGATCGGGCGGTGGGAACAAGGCTGCCAAGGGCCGCGCCAGTGCGCGGGCTTCGCTCCTTGTCGAACGGGCGCGACAACCGCGACCTCGGGTGCTTGCCATGCTCGACGGAGAACGGGGTGGAAAGACGCCCGCGAGCCAACCGCGATGATGTGCCGCGACAGGACCCGAGGCCACTGATAGTGCGCATCTCGGCGCCAAGACTACATGGGACGACTGCGGTAGCGCGTGCTCTACGTTGCTCAGGCGAAACGAAGACCCGCATCTTTTGGACCGAGCTGAGCAACTCGACGCGCAAATTCGACATCGACCTCTTGCTGATTGACGCCAAGTTATCGACTGCGGACAGACGCCCGAGGAGGACGACGCGGGCAAACGGTTTCACGAGTATCTCAAGACACGCAATATCGCAACCGTCGGCCTTGCCATCGGGTGGCCCAGCAGGCGCTTCCATTTTCATGTTTGCGCCAGCAGTACAGCATAGCAGTGGCACGTCCCCTTGCAACGTCGACCTGCCCGACTTGGCAGTGAAGGAGGTCAGCAGGAGGAACAGCAGCAGGAGCAACACGGGTTGTGCAGGAGGAAGGACAGGATGAGCAGCGGGAGGCGGGGCAGCAGCAGGGTGAGGACGGCGGAGGAGCAGCAGCAGGCCGATCGCGGGGGCCGCCCCCGCTTCACAGGATCCACGTGCAGAACTCCTTCGCCGGCCTCAAGACGGACAACCTGGAACTCAAGGCCTGCCTGCCGCGGTTCTTGGCTTGGCCTTCCCCAGCTTTCGACGACCTGCGGCCGCAGCCGCGCATTCCGCGCGCCGTGGCGTGGCCTTTGGCCACGGCGCTGCGAGCTTCACCCTGGCTGGCGGTGAAGGCCGCCGTGGGTCGGGCCTGTCGCTTTACAGGGGGAATATTCAAAGATAGTCAGAACATAGGCTGGGGACGATGTTTTGACATTTTTGGAGTATATTTTGAATTTTCTGGGTACTTTTTAAATTTCGTCGAACATCTGCCTTAGGGGGACATGCCCGGCCTGAGCCTAGTCGAGACAAGCGGTGGCCTGCGCAACAACGGCTGCTGCCGCTGTTGGACAAACAGTGCTGTCGTACCCGCTGCGGAAGTTGTGATCACCGGGGGGGTTAAGGTCACGCATCGTGTGCCAGGTTGCCAGCCGAGAGCCTCGCCAGAGCAGCAGCAGAAGCATCTGACAGCCGAGGAGGCCAGCGCATTGCGAGGGAAGGGGTGCTGCCCAAGCAGCTCCAACAGCGGCCGCCGTCGTCCCCGCAGCCGGTGGTCCCAGGCCAGATTCAGCAGCGGTCGCAAACATGGATCAAGGGGGCGTGGATTAGCGAGGGGTGCCGTTTCCATAAGAAATCGCGGACTTCCGCCGCCGAGCGACGCGGCACCGGCCGCATTTTGGGGGGTGGCACCTCCCCCGATCCATGGATTTGGCGACCGCGCGCCGAATCCATGGATCGCTAATCTTGTGGAAGTCGATGAATGGAGAGGAAGCGTGGTGCCAAATAATTCCCAGACGGCGAACACATATTTCAGACATGTTCTAAACATGTAAGAACATGTCTGAAACATTGTTCAAACACGTTTGACACATTTAGAGCACATGGTCAGTTCAGTGATCGGAGTTTCAGAGTGTCCATTGTCCTGGCATCCACAGCGCTACTCCATGTCTGCGTGGCGGCCCCCCCGCCTCGCTCCACGGGCCGCGGGCCCCGGGGGTAACGACCCTCGAGGGTGGAGGGGCTCGGGGGGGGGCGCCGCAGGATGGGGGCTGTCGTCACGGAGGGGGGCCGCGTGCGGCCCCTGCACAGGAGGGTGGCCCAGGCCTCTGACGTCGTGGCTTTGGCACGCGTGGGCCCCCGGAATCCCTCAGGTGAAGTCGGGCCTGTCTCCCTCTGCAGGGGGAATATTCAAAAGTAGTAAAAAAATAGTTAGGGGATGATTCTATGAGTATTTCTGAATGTTTTAAAATCTAATGGACTTATTTTGATTTTTTCGTCCAAATCCCCCTGTAGGAGGACACGCCCGACCTGACCCTAAGGGCTTGTCTATTTTTCGCCAATCGACTTGTGGGGATCGAGCCAGGCAAGTCCAGGTCAATGCAGATATATCGATGTAAATCCATGTAACTTCAGGTACATCGAGATACATCCAAGTACATCCAGAGATCTCCAAGGAAGGTTGGAGCAACTCGTGGCCGCTCCAGCGCGAGTCGAAGGACGGCAGACGTCGTTAAGCCTTTAAGGATCTATATATATATATATATATATATATATATATATATATATAATGCGCGACCCTTTGCCGTTTTTGACGTTCCCAGGGACTGGCGAGGGCCCCGGAGGCCGAAAATCTGATACCGGAGTTCCGTTTCGTTCTTTTCGATGCGCTGGAGGCCTCGGCAGGCCAGTTCATGTCAGGTCAGGCAAGCCAAGCATCCACCAAGGACGTGCAGTTCTTCGGGAAGTGAAGCAAGACAGATCAACATCCTCAGAATGCGGCCGTCGTGCCATGCCGTGCCGTGCCGACGAGGTGTCTTATCATGCAGTGTTGGTGGTCAGGGCTTCGGGGCCAGAGTGGTTCCAATCCGCTGGAGGCCCCAGGCAGCAGTCACGAGAACAGGCACGGATTGATAAGAAGCTCTCCCAGCCGCTGTGCCCGCGGGACGCGGCGCAGCTCTTCCTGTACCGGGTGCACCGGGCGCTCTATTGGAAGGACCTGTGGCGCACGAAGGCGGCCCGGCCCCCTTTCTTGGTTGGCATGCGCGCGCGCGTGGCCGCCCCCGCGGGTCCAGGCCTCCTGGCGGGGGCATCGTCAGGGTGGGGGGGCTGACCGGTTGGCCCAGGGCAGCCTCTCGCAGAGGTGGGTGGAGGGAGCGGGGAGGCTTCTTCGAAGCACCTCTGCTTCTCTTCTGAGAAAGCGCGGGCGTAGAGCTGGCGCCTTCTGAGAAGCAGCAGCCTTCTCAGAAGTCTTCCCCCCTCCCTCCATCCCCTGGTGCGCGCTGCCGACCGGGGACGTTGTGCTTCGGCCCCCGATCAACCTTCTGTGTTTGCCGAATTCCAATGCGATGGTGGGATCGATCTCGACATTCATCCCCGAGAGGGGGCCCGATAGCCCACGCCGCCTGGGAACGTGGGGTCTCGCTCCTCGCTACTCGGGAGCCCATCGCTGACCTATCGGCAGCATATCGTCGATTCCTGGCCGCCAGTGCCCTCCTCTCGCTGCCCCTCACCCTAGAGTGCGCGGCCCAGGCCCTCCTCCTCCTCCTCCTCCTCCTCCTCCTCCTCCTCCTCCTCCTCCTCCTCCCTCCCTCCTCCTCCTCTCCTCCTCCTCCCCTCCCTCCTCCTCCTCCCCTCCTCCTCCTCCTCCCTCCTCCCCCTCCTCCTCCTCCTCCTTCTCCTCCTCCTCCTCCTCCTTTTCCCCCTCCGCCTCCTCCTCCGCCTCCTCCTTCCCCTCCTCCCCCTCCTCCTCCTCCTTCCCCTCCTCCTTCCCTTCCTCCTCCTCCTCCTCCTCCTCCTCCTCCTCTTCCTCCTCCTCCTTCTTCCCCTCCTCCCCCACCTCCTCTCCCTCCTCCTCCTCCTCCTCCTCCTCCTCCTCCTCCTCCTCCTCCCCCTCCTCCCCTCCTCCTCCTCTTCTCCTCCTCCTCTTCCTCCTCCTCCTCCTCATTTCCCTCCCCCTCACCCCCTCCTCCTCCTCCTCCTCCTCCTCCTCCGCCTCCCCACCTCCTCCTCCTCCTCCTCCTCCTCCTTCCCCTCCTTCTCGTCCTCCTCCTCCTCCTCCTCCTTCCTCCTCCTCCTCCTCCTCCCGAGCTCCCCGACTTCCGCGCGCCGCGATGCGCAATCGCCGCGGAGGGCCCTCTCGCGCGCCCGGCTGACAACTCGGGGGCCCCCACCAGGCCCGGGGGCAATGCCGGCATCGGGCGGGGCCTGGAGCTAGAGGAGGAGGAGGAGGAGGAGGAGGAGGAGGAGGAGGAGGAGGAGGAGGAGGAGGAGAAGGAGGAGGAGGAGGAGGAGCAGGAGGAGCTTCTGGCGCCAACATCGCAGGTCGGATTTCGTTCGGAAAACGATAGGATGGGCCCGGAGTGTCCTGGATAATTTCGTTTTGAATTTCGAGGCGAATTTCGTGCGGATTTTGTTTGGTCAGCGATGAAGACGAAAAAACAATCCACGCAACATTCACTTTTTTATTCACTCGCCGTTTCTGGGTCTTGCACTGGCAGAAGTCCACGCAAAAATCTGCTGCAGCACGTCTGCAAGGTCGGTGCAGTGAGAAGGAACGCCGGAAACGTAAACTTTTGGCCGTCTAAAGTTTCTGTTTGTGTCGTTTTTCTTCTAGCAGGAATCCGTGTCAGAGCGTTCCGGGCCGCTCTTCGAGCGTCCTGGCGCGCTCTGAGAAGGTCGCGGCGCCCGAGGCATCGTCCAGAGCCGCCAGATCTCAGAGACTCACGATTTAGCCCCGCCCGAATTTGCTTTCGTCCTGGCTTCGACTTACAGCAGCACAAAAACGACTCGACACTCACCAGACACTGCAAACGCGGCCTCGTTGTGGACACCTCCCGAACTATCCGTAGGATTTCTATTGTACCGTGTTGATCAAGCATTGCAAGCGGGACAATTACGCCAGGCCTGCCTTCTTCCCTCCCACGTTTCCTTATATTTCCCAAGTTAGTTTTCCAATCAGTGATTGCACTAAAGGGGTTCCAGCGGATTTTTGTTTTCCAATCAGTGCTTGCACTGAAGGGGTCCCAGTGGAAATTAAAAGATTTGGCGAAAGTTTCCCGCCGATGCTGGTGGCCGGCTGGGTTCCCGCGTTCCCGGTTCTGGGTTCCCGGGTTCTTGGTCATTGGTTCCGGTTCGATTTCGGTGGGTTCCGGGTTCCCGGTTTCCTGGATTCCCGGGTTCCCGGTCGATCTCCTTATCGATTTTTTTCGATCCCACGATGCATTATCGATCTCATGATCGATCTCTCTAATTATCTCAATCAATCGATCTCACCATCGATCTCATCAAACCATCCATGATTGGGGGTTTTCTCTGGTGTAATTTGATTTGAGCCTTGTTGGCGAGCGGTTGGGGAGGGGCGCTGAAGAAGGAACCCTTTTCCGTTGGGTTTTCCTGAGGTTTTCCACGGTAATTCGAAGTGCAACTTATGGGAGAAACGGGGCCTCGTTCCTTATTGAGGGTTCCCTAGGCCAACGCCCCGACTGTATACCTCCCAGCTTAGTTTGATTTGAGCCTAGTTGGCGAGCGGTGTCATTGATCCCGCTGGCCCCGCAGAAGCCACGAGCCCCTCTCCCGACGGGCACCCGAGGGGATCGCGGCGGGCAGGCTGGCGCAGGCCAGGGGGGGGGGGAACAGGCTGGCCGGGTCACCGTGTGGCACCCCCCTTCCTGGCGCTCCCTCCTCCTCCTCCTCCTCCTCCTCCTCCTCCTCCTCCTCCTCCTCCTCCTCCTCCTCCCCCTACCCGGATCCTCCTCCCCCCCCTCCCTCCTCCCTCCATCTCTACCTCCTCCTCCTCCTCCTCCTCCTCCTCCGCCTCTTCTCCCTCCCCTGCCGACCCAGCCCTTCGCTCTCCCCCCCTCCCCCCCCAAGCAGCTGGTGTGCGCACTGCGCCCCCCCCCCCCCCCTCTGGATGTGCGCCAACGGCCCTCTTGGAGCCCTCTTGGGAGGCCTTTTGGGCCGTCTTGGTGGCTTCTTGGGCAGGCTTGGAGGCATCTTGGACCCTCTTGGGCGATCTTGGAGGCCATCTTGGACCATCTTCGGCGGACTGCCCGTCTTGGAGGTATCTTGGAATCCATTTGGGGCCATCTTGGGCGTGAAAAGGACCAAACCCAAAAACGGTAGCGTCTAGCGGCGGATCTGATGGCCCTCGGCCCATGCCGCCACCGTGCCGGGCTTGTGCGCCAGAGTCCTCAAAGATCTTTGTTCACCCCGCGGCTCGGGCTCGGGCTGCGGCTGCGGCTCGGGCTGCAGCTCGGGCCTGCGGCTCGGACGGCGGCTCGTCGGCGATCTGGGCTCGCAGCTGCTGGCCATCGGCACCCCGCCGCAAGTGATGGGCGGAAGGCACATCGGCATACGGCACCGTCAGCCCGCATAGTAAGGATGAGCAACTTCTTAAGGTTACCCGTGCATCCTCCCCCTTGGGCCCATCCTTGGCCGCTTTCGCTGATCGCGCTCCGCTCGTGGCGAGTCGACGTGGCCTTCCCAGGCCCTTGCATCATTATCGTGCGTCCTTACGATACGGGTTGACCGCAGGTTCGCGTCGTGTCGACTGGCGGCGACCTGGCCGCCGGTGTTCGACGTTGAACGCCGCTGGCGACCCAGAATCGGTCTATGTTCAACGATCTGACGTTTCAGAAACGGCCGACCGTTCAAGGTTACAGTCGGGCGAAGAGAACTATGCATATGCACCGATCCTGACAGCGTCAATCGTTGACCCAGGATCGGTGCATATGCCCTCCCGGCCAATGTAAGGGGGCGTATGCACCGATCCTGGGCTCAGGATGGGCCCGGCCAGAATCGGTGTATGTGCATAGTTCTATTTCCTCTGTACAGTATCTCTTCGGTGTCAGGAACCAACGCCGAAGTCGGCAGCACACGAACCCTGCCGTATCCACGGCCTCGCGGGCCGGGCCCCCAGGCCGCGACCCCGTGGATGAGGGGCGCTTTTCCAGGAGCGCCCCGCTGGAGGGTTTCTCCGAAGGGCTCAGACGACCCCCCCTCCTCCTCCCCTCCTTTCTCCTCCTCCTCCTCCATGTCCTTCTCCTCCTCCTCCTCCTCCTCCTCCTCCTCCCCTCCTCCTCCTCCTCCTCCTCCTCCTCCTCCTCCTCCTCCTCCATCCCCTCCTCCTCCTCCTCCTCCTCCTCTCCTCCTCCTCCTCCTCCTCCTCCTCCCCCTCTCCCCTCCCCCTCCTCCCCTCTCTCCTCCTCCTCCTCCTCCTCCTCCTCCTCCTCCTCCTCCTCCTCCTCCTCCTCGGGTCGCCTGCGGCCCCGGGGGAAACCGTCCATGCCCCGCGTGGAGCGCAGCCGTGCGACAGGGCAGCCGCCGCATCGCGCCCCGTCGTCCGGGCCGCGAGGGCGTGGACGTGCGGACGTGCTCGCCGCTCGTGGGCACCCCGCCGCATAGCTGGGCCCCCCCCCCCCCGCGGGCGGCCATGACGCTGTGCCGCGCGGCGCCCGCGCCGCGCCCGTGCGTACGGCCTCCCGTGCCAGCTTTAGTCACCACCCACCAAACTTCCCCGACGCAACCCGAAGGCCCCAATGAGCCCTCCATGCCCAGTGGGGGGGGGGGGGGGTCGGGGAACATATTCTGGAAACAAATACATGGAACCCGTACCCCCCCAACCCGAACTTCGGGTCAAATTCGGGTCTTCGGGTTGGGTTGGGTTGGTCTGGTAGGTAGTCATTTAGGGGAACGAAGAATGGCACAAACATAAAAACTCGGAGGTCCGCGCGGATTTCTCGGATCGGCGCTGGAGCCTCCCTGGCGGCGCCGGAGGCGCCGCCCCTGGCGCGCTCCGCGCGCCACACGGGGGGGGGGGTCCAGCGCAGATCCGAGAAATCCGCGCGGTGTTTATGGCGTTTTTTCTTCCTCTGTTGAAGCGCATGTCCCTATCCCAATGCTCGGCATCACCGTGCCTCGGTGCCTGTCTTTCAGGGGCGGCCGAGAGGGGGGCGAGGACTAGGGGGGGTGGATATATCGTGGCGTGGGCCATGATGTTTCCTCAGGTTTCATGGCGCCTCTTCTCATTTCTTTACGTCCCTGGCCCCCCCCCCCCCCTGGGCCGCGCATATGCCGCTGGCCATGATTTGCGCCCCCCCCTCTTGGACCCCCCCTCTCGGCCGACCGCGAGTCTTGAGAATCGCCTCAGTTTCAGAGGGCGCATCCCCAGACTATCATCGCTTTGGCTCGAGGCCTCCCAGATGGGGTCGGAGTGTATGGGGTCGGAGGATCGCGCCATTCCCCACGCCGACGTCGCCGATGCATCGGGGATGCATCGGCGATGCCGCGCGATCCTCCTTCGATCCCATCTGCTCCGACCCCATCCAGGAGGTCTCTAACTCGGTCTTGCCTATGATGTTCCAACCTGCTTTAGCCTTGACCACCAGAAATAATTCCGAGCACCAAGAAAGTACCGAAGGTGGAGGGCTTCCACGTGTCGGACCCTGGGAGGCGGCACTCGACACTGTTTAGATATCCTCCCTGAACGATCGATTGATCACTTCTGGGGTGCGGTCCTCAGGCACGACGGGAGCCACAGAAGTCTTGCCGACCTTGGGTCGACGTCACCCCAACACACTTATACTATATGTGCGTCGCCCCCCCAGGGGCGACGCGCGCACCGAGAACTCCTCTAATAGATGCGTCGTGGCGGGTGCTTTCTGGCCACGTCGCTGTGGAAGCGACAACTACAAGATGGGTATATACTATATGTTCGGGTCGGACGCGCGCCTCCAAGGAGGACACACACCTTAGGCGATGCTTAAGAAAACCTAAGTTTTCGGCCAGAGTCTTGATTATTCTTAACTTGTCAATGTAAATCCCAAGATTTTGATAGAAGTTCTGGGTTTTTATTCCAGTTCTGAGACTCTGAATTTCTTAACCCATGGTTTCTTAAGCATTTCGCAGGGTGTACTAGTAGTATGTCTCCGTGCGTCCCTTTGGGGATAGGGATCTGCTCGAGGCCGGCCACCTCTGGCAGCCGCGCGCCCGCCGCGCCCCTGGCGGGCGCCGCGCGCCCCGCCGGCGCCGCCCCGCCCGCCGCGGCGCCGCGCTCCGGCGCTGCAGGCCGTGCCGGCGGCGCGCTGGCCGCGGCGGCGGCGGCCGCCGTGCTCGCGGAGCTCAGGGGGAGGGAGGAGACGCGACACTAACACCACCAGGGGGCCCACCTCCAGCGAGGAGGTCCACGGATGCTGGGGATGTCTCGAGCGAGAGGGGGGGACCACACCACCAGGGAGACTCCCCTTGCCTCCTCGCACCTCCTCGCCCTGCTGGTGTTGGTGTCGCCTTTCCTTGTTCCCACTCAGGGGGAAGATTCGGGGTCTTTTTTTTGTTTTCTGTTTTTTTTGTTCTTCCTGTTTGTTTGGAGTTTTTTTTGTGAGCAAAGCCTTATATTGACATTTGAGTGTGTATATGTATGTATATATATGTAGATTTTGTAGAATTGTATATATGTATATAGGTATAACGTTTTTTTTATACAGTTATACGTATATTTATATTCATGTATATATATATATATAAATATAAATATTCTCCCTGACGGTGGTCGGCGGCGAGCGAGGGAGCGAGAAGGAGAAGGCCCTCACAGAAGGCGGCGGGGCTTCTCGGAAGCCCCCCGCGGCCTTCTGAGCAGCTCCCTGTGCCTTCGGGGACGACGGCGAACGCTTCTGAGAAGGCCAGGGGACTTCCGAGCCTTCTGAGGAGGCCCGCCCCCTCTCACCTCCTCCCCAGGCGCGCCACCGAGATCACGGACGGTAATTACCAGGGGGTAGCGGAGGGGGGGGCGAGAGGGTTGGTAACGTTGCGATTCGCGACGGCGCCGTCTGGGAATGAGCTGCCCCTATCAATTCACAGACGGCGCCGGCGCGAGCTGTGACGTTACCACGTGGGGGGGGGGAGTATCCCCGGTAACGGCCCTTGTCGCGAATCATGAAAACGAGCTCCAGTGGGGCTTGGAAGCGACGGTGCCGTTAACAGGCACTGTTTCATGGTATCGAAGAAGAAAGCGCCATAAACATAACTTGTCGGCGGTCCGCGCGGATTTCTTTGATCGGCGCTGGGCGCCCCTGGCGGCGCCTCTGGCCTCGCCCCTGGCGCGCTCCCCGCGCCAGGGATGGGCGCCAGGGAGGAGGGCCCAGCGCCGATGCAGGAAGCCCGCGCGGTTCTCCAACAGTTCATGATTGTATGACGTCTTTTTTTGTTTTGGAGAGGAGTGAGGGGCCGGCGGGGTCGTCGGCGCTGTGCCAGGCTTTGAATTTGAGGGAATCCCGTCGCAGGCGCCGATTCCTGAAGCCACGCCACGCAGGGAGCCCGCCGCGGGCGCCGACGTGTGCGTCAGAGCAGCGCGGGTGGGTCGCGGAGTGGGTCGCGGAGTGGGTCGCGGGGGGGCTCGCGGGGTGGGTCGCAGGTTTCAAACAGTGGCGAAGCGTCCTGGCTCGCCCATGGCTCTACCAAACAATGTTCTAAGAACCTTTTGTGGTTTCCACGAAATGTTCGTAGAACATGTCTAGCGGAGTCTGTCTTGTTTTATCACATCGGGTACATGTTCTCAGAACATTGTTTTTGTTCTTTGAACATTTTGGGTTCTAAGAACTTTTCGTGGTAGGACTATAGGAATGCCGGGACGGTCGGTCCCTGCTCAAAAGGTAGGTCGCGGATGGGTCGCGGGGGGTGGTCATGGGGGGAGACGACGACAACACCAACAATCATTTTGATATTTTTCTCTCTTATCTGCTCGCGTGCCATTCGGCACGTGTATCCCAAACCCTCGATGCCCGCCCTCTTCGTCTTCGATCGTGCCTCCCTTGGGGGTCTGTCTTCCCCGCCTGCCTCGTGCAGTTGGCGCAGCCGCGAGGACAGGGGAGGGAGGGGAGGGGGAGAAGAGACAGGGGGCGAGGGAGCAGGAGGGAGCGCGAGGGAGAGCTGCAGGAGGAGGGCCTCGTGGCAGGAGTGGAGCCAGCAGGTCCCGGCGGGCGGGGCGAGAGGGCGGAGCCTCGCAGAGCAGAAGTCGGGCGGGGCGGGCCCAGGCGGCCAGGGCGAGCGGGCGGGCGGGCCCCGGGTGGCCAGGTCGGGCGAGCGGGCGGGGTCAGGCGCAGATGGGCTCAGGCGCAGATGGGTCGCAGACGAGTCGCGGGGCGGGTCGCGGGGTGGGGCGCGGGCGGGGTGGGGCGCGGGGTGTGTCGCGGGCGGGTCGGGTCGCGGGGTGGGGCGCGGGGTGGGTCGCGGGGTGAGTCGCGGGGTGGGTCGCGGGGTGGGTCGCGGGCTGGGGCGCGGGGTGTGTCGCGGGCGGGTCGCGGGCGAGGACGACATCAACAACAACGGCAACAGCAACACCGGCAATGGCAGCAACAACAACGGCAGCAACAACGACGACGACACCAACAGCAACAGTAGCGACCACACCAGCATCCACACCAGCATCAGCAGCAGCAACAACAGCAGCACCACCACCACCACTGACAACAGCAACACCAGCATCATCAACAACAACATCACCAACAGCATCAACACCAACACCAACACCAACCATCAGTTTAAGTTTTTTCGTTCCTGTCTGCTCGCATTCCATTTAACACGTGCATTACAAACCCTCGGTGCCCGCCCTTTCCGTCTCCGATCGTACCCCCGTTAGGGTATATCTTCCTTATCTTCCACGTGCATTTATCGCAGCCCCTAAAACAGAGGAGGAGAGGACGGATGGAAGGGGGAGGTTTAAGAATGGAATACGAGAACAACAAATAAGCAGGGGTCTAGAAGCAGAAAGCACGTGGCAGAACCAGACGGGTAGATCGGGCGGCCAGACCTTAGCGGGCGGGTCGGAAAGGCTGGCCCAGGCGGCCAGGTCGAGCGGGCGGGTCGCTGAAGCGACAATCCAACATGATTCGCAAGGAAGTTTCGAGCGATAGCGCGATTCCCGAGGAAGTCGTAAGGGGATCCACAGCGAGAGCCTGATTCTTCAGTCCAGGGGGCACGGCGCCGCAATAAACTGAGAGGAAGTACCACGCGAGAGCGAGATTTTTGCGTACATTCTGAGGAATTCCCGCGCGAGAGCGCACGTTTGAAATATATTGTGAGGAGGTATTCGGAGGGAGCCTTCGTTCAGGGGCCCAGTTCGAGGACCAAGCAATTTCTTGATAAAGGAAACAGGGTGCGAGCCCCAGAAGGAGCACGTGAATCGAAAAACACTATGCGCACCAGAGGGGGATGATCAACAATATCTGTTCTTGAGAAATGAGAGCTCGACAAGCAGCAACCAACAATAACACGCACAATCTGGGCCTCGGGAGTCCCAATTTTCACCAACGCAGCCAGGGATGGTGTAAGACGGTTCGATCCCCTCACTCAGATGTCATTTTTCCCAGTGACGGTCGTTACCCCGCGGAAGGGGTTGGGGCCTCGGGTGACGGTAGCGCTTGGGCGGGGTGGGGCGCGTCGGGGCGGGAGTTCGCTGCGATCGCTAAAGTACGCGCGCGAGCACCAGCATGTGCGGGGGGTCCAGGACCCCTCTCTTCTTGCGATCGTTACTGTCATCCAGGAGAGGGGGTTGGCCCGCGTTACGACTGTTACATGCCATCGGTTACAACCCAAATGCACTCCCTTGGGTGTGCCCTGGGAGCGACAGGGCGGTGCTTTTCACTAATTCCTTTTTGCAGTTTGTTGGCTGGTTCCGGCGCCTTTTTTTGCCTAGTTCCGTCGCCGTTGTTTCCCGGGTCCGGTTTTGACTCTATTGATCCTGGGGCAGAGCCGTCAAACCAGCCCTGCCGTTTCTGGGTGCCGCTCAGGACCGAAGGGGCAAATTGTACCGATACCGCTGCCATTCGATCGTTTCCGCCCTCTTCGGCCTCGCGGGAGGCCCCCGTCGCCACGACTGGACTCGCGTCGGCCTTCTGGGGATAGTAGCGGGGTGGGGGGCCCAGCGCCGACCCAGGCGACCCGCGCAGACCTCCAACAGTTCACGCTTCCTCCTCCTCCTCCTCCTCCCCCTCCTCCTCCCCCTCCTCCCCCTCCTCCCCCCCCTCCTCCAGGGTTTTCGGGACCCGTCGCCTGTGCTCCACACGTCCTCGCCCGCGCTCGCGGGAGGCGGGAGGCGGCGCGTTCCCTTCTCGCTGGGCTGCGCGCCGCTTGCCGCCGGGAAGCAGCCAGAGAAGGGGTGGGCGGAGGCAGCGGCGGCCCTCCCTGGCGCTCCGTCGACCTCTTCGGGCCTCCGTGCAGGCCTCTCGCCGCCACGGCACGGGTTTCGCCTCGGGAGTGCTGGCCCGGAGGTCGATTATATAGCGAGCTGGCCGTCTTCGGTTCGCGAAAGGGCGTCGCGGCCTTCACTTTTGCGGATCCGGGCCCGTCGGTTTCGGTCCTATAGGCCGTTTTCACTAAAGGGAGGTTCAGTAAAGGGAGGTTTGTCCACCGCCGGCTGGTGAGGGCGCACCCCCGGGAGAGGTTCGCAGTGTGTCTCCGCCGGCGGAGTCTCCGCCGCGGAGGTCTCCGCCGGCAAGGGCCGGCAAGGGCCGGGGGGGTCACCGCAGACGGGGCTTTTCTGCGGGTCCCGCGAGGCCGGGGTTTGGCTGAGCTGGGTGCTGAAGCCAGGCGCGGTCCTGGAGGCGGCCTTACTTCTTTGGTGAGCTGGGTGTGCAAAGCCCTCCAACGAAACGCATCGCAGCTCATCCGAAAGCCGCTGAGCCGGGTTCGCTCTGTGCCAGGTCGGTCCACGGCCGAGTTGAATCAGGAGCTTTCTGGAGGCCTCGCGCGGCGCGCAATCGTTGTATCATCCAGTTGTTTGCGGCAATCGACGCCACCGTGCCTGTGCAACAGCGCATCGTGTAGGAGGCTGAGTTCAAGACCAGCACAATTCCGACGAGTGTTCTGAACTGGGACGGGTCGTGAACTCGACCTCGTCTTCGTCCGCGCGGTAGGAAAGTGTCGAGTTTCACGCCCTGCGGCAATTCAGCGGTTGGTTTGAATTGGGGAGGGTCGTGATCTCGACCTCGTCTTCGTCCGCGCTGTAGACAGGAGGAGGAGGAGGAGGAGGAGGAGGAGGAGGAGGAGAAGGAGGAGGAGGAGGAGGAGGAGGAGGAGGGAGGAGGAGGGGGAGACGAGGCGGAGGAGGGGAGGAGGAGGAGGAGGAGGAGGAGGAGGAGGAGGAGGAGGAGGAGGAGGAGGAGGAGGAGGAGGACATGAGGACGATGACGAGAAGACTTCTTGGGGCTTCCTTGGAGGAGCCTCTTGGGAGCCTCCTGAGGGTCTCTTGGGCCTCTTGGAGGCCTCATGGGGTCTCTTGGGGGCCTCTTGGGCGTCTTAGGGATGCTCTTGGCCCGTCTGACGACTTCGGAAGCCGTCTTGGGGGCTTCTGGGCCGTTTTGGTGCCCGCCTCGAGCGCTTTCGAGCTGTCTTGGGGCCCTCTTGGGAGCCTCCTGGGCGATCTTGGGTCCTCTTGTGCAGACTCGGGGCCCTCTTGGGGGCCTCCTGCGTTTTCTTGGAGCTATTTTGGAGGCCCCTTGGGCCGTCTTGGGCGGTCGGAAACCCGAGAACGCGAGAACCTAGAAATCTTTCAAACGCCTAAGCAAACCAATGGTGTTGGCCTCCGCGGGTTCTCTCCTGGAGGGTTTCTTGGAGCCCTCTTGGGCAGTCTGAAGCCGTGTTGAGGCTGTCTTGAGAGCCTCTTGAGCCGTATTGTGCCATCTTGAGCCGTGTTGGTGTTGTCTGGGCTGTCTTGGAAGCCCTCTTGGATGCCATCTTGGCCGTCTCGAGGCTGAAAAGAGCGCCGGGGAGAAACCCCAGTGGGGGGACCACGTGTAGAACGAGGGGGGGTTTGGCCCCTGACAATTTTAACAACATCTCGCAGACAATAGACGAGCATTCTGACACTCCCACTGCGTGCAGGCACGGTGGCGGAGCTAGGCTGCACGTCTGCCCCGTGAGATATGGGGCGACATTTGCGCGGCGATGTCCTGACGCAAGTCCAGCGTAAACACAGCGTAACTCCAATGCGAATCCGACGCACATTTGGGTCTCAGGTTGCCGCGCGAGGCCTCCTGGATTTTCTTCATAACGACTGTCGGAGTCTCGGTGGTTCTCGGTTGTCGCCAGCTCGGGTGTTGGGTTCGTGACATGCGATGTTCGCGTATGTCTTCGCCATTGCGGTCGGTTGCAGGTCATGGTGAGCCTTGCTTGTATGTCCTCGAAGTTCCGTCCTCAGAGTGCACTGGCGTGCGCCGGCGTCGATGAGACATCGCCGATTTAGCGTCTGTTAGCGTTGCTTTAGCGTCGCTTAGCGTTGGTGAGCGTCGGTCAGCATCGGCTACCGTTAAGTCGGGCGTGTCCCTCTACAGGAGGAATATCCGACAATAGTTAAAACAGAACAGTATGGGGACGATCCTTTGAGCATTTTTGGAACATGTTTGAGTATTGTAGGAGTATTTTTTAGTTTTCCTATCAAATCCGCCTGTAGGGGGACATGCCCGACCTAATGCTGCCGTCCATTCGCAAAAGCCCGCAAGAGGACACGGGAGGCTCCCGTGAGCTGCCGCAGAAGCCGCGCACGCGCCGCGCGGCGGCCCCCGGGATGCCTTGCCGCGCCCGGGCCGCGCTCGGCTCCCGAGCTTCTCTGCTGGGGCGGCCACGCGACTTCGGATGCACCTCCTGGAAGGTCAAGTTCTGTTTTTGCCCTGGTCCGACATCCGGCTTAATCCGGCTTAATCCCGCTTAATCCCGCTTAATCCGGTTTAATCCGGCTTAATTCCGCTTCATTTGGCTTAATCCGAGGCCCATTCTGGCATAACAGCCCCCCAATGGGGCTTAATCCGATGTACTCTTTCCGACGAAAACCTCCCAGTAGTTGCCTCCTAACGCGACTCTGGATACCACTCCCGGGAGGTCAGATTCGGAGTCGGCGACTGCGCAGCTCCCGGGTCGAACGGTGGCCTCGTCTGGCCGTTCTTTACTCCTGCCTACCTGGCCACGGAGCGAAGTGTCGGTGCCTGGCCTCCTCCTCCTCCTCCTCCTCCTCCTCCTCCTCCTCCTCCTCCTCCTCCTCCCAGGAGCGGCCGCGGCGAGCACCGCTGGCTGGCCAGCGTCGCTCGGTGGTGGTGCTGCGGAGGCGCTGCGCGGCGGCGGCGGGCGCCGAGGTGGGCGCGGGAGCGGCTCTGCAGGAAAAGCCAGGACCCCACGGTGAGGGGGCCCCGTTAGTAGTAGGGCCCCCGAGCCCTAACTTCGCCAGAATCACCAGACCAGGTCTGCCGTAGATGGTGTTTCTTCTCGGGTGGCGGCAGTTCCGGTTGGTGCGATGGGGCGGGGGGCGGCCCCCAAACACACATCGTGGAAACCGGGTCCCAGTAGGCATGCCAACGCCCGACAGAATGAGGATGCAGGGTGAGGACGCTAGGGCCTTGCAGGTTGGATGGGGGGAGGAGAAGCGACACCAACGCCACTAGGGAGGCCACCTCCAGCGAGGAGGTCCACGATGCCTCCACGAGCTGGGGATTGGGGATGTCTCGAGCGGGAGGGGGCGACCACACCACCAGGGAGACCCCCCCCGGCCCCTCGCATCTCCTCGCCCTGGTGGTGTTGGTGTCGCTTTTCCTCGTTCCTAGTTGGAGGGCCATGCTCTTTTTTTCGAGCGGGGTTGGCCAACGGAAGCCGCCAAGGATGGGCCGGAGGGGGCAGGGATGCAAGGAGGGTTAGCCTCGGGAAGGTGGCTCCTCCTCTTCTTGTGCGAGGACTCGGCTGTGCGTTGTGCCCCTGCTGTTTTGCTGCAGAGTCCGTGCCCTTCGTTGGTGTCAGCGGCGCCGGGGGGCGCTCTCCCCCCTCCTCCCTGTTCTAAGATTGTCGGTAATCGTCTAACAACGCAGAACAGCAACACGGCAGCCCAAAACGGAAACAAAAACACGGCAGTACAAAAGGGAACCTTGTTGCACATGGTTCAGACGAAATTCCCCAAACGGAACTCGAACACCGAAACATAAAAACAAACGTAGGCAATGAGCACGACAGAAGAACACGCCCCCAGCAGTTTCATACCATCTTCTGGCGGGAGCGGTGGTGCAGGTTCGCATTACGTTATTTTTTGTTTTCTGCCAAGACATGAAACAATGAGTTCGTGCCCTTCCCGTGCCAGCTCCGCGCCGCCGTCGTGCCCCCGCGGCTGCCGTGCTCTGGATGGCGCCAGGCCCCGCGCAGGAGCGGCAGCGGAACGAAAGCGGAACGAGAGAGCACACTCGGCGTCGCCGCAACGTTGCTCTCGAGGATGGAGGGTGGCTCCTTCCCGACCTGTGGCTCTCGGCTCTCGCCTCGGCGCCGTGCGCACTCGTGGCAAAGAGTTGCAACAGTTTCAAGGATTCGTAGGGTCGAAACCTCGAGCGTGATCTGGCACGGTTTCACCGGCGCCACCCAACATACTCATACTATGTGTGTGTGCGTCGCCCCCCCCCTCCAGGGGCGACGCGCGCACCGAGAACTCTTATGGTATAGATGCGTCGTGGCGGGCGCTTTCTGGCCACACCGCTCGGGATACGATATACGTGTATATATATATATATGCACACACACACACTACAAGACGGGTGTACTATATGTTCGGGTCGGACGCGCACCTCCAAGCAGGACACATAGGATTAGTGTGGTTCTGTGCGTTCCACACATCCGAGGCGGGAATTTATCCATACTCACTTCCTGGAGGGTCAGTTTTCGGAGCCTCGGCAGGCGGTGGATATGGACATTGGGGCCCCCGGGGGCCGATATATATAATAATATATATATATATATATATATTATATACATATCTATAATATATATATATATATATCCATATCCATATCCATATCCATCTCCACCGCCCGCTGGGGCACCAGGACGTCGGTTCCCAGGCGGTGGATATGGATAAATCCCCGCCTCGCACACGCGCTCCTGAGCGCAACGCGAAGGCTGCTACCACGAACGGCCACGCGAGAGCGGCGGAAGCCTGGACGCCGCGGTGGTGCTCGCACGCCGGGCCGGCCGGACCTCTCGCCCCTGCTTCGGGGCCCCCGCAGGTCAGAGGAGGGCGAGTGTCGGTGGTGAGCGCGGGTCGGGGCGGACGAAAGGGGGGGATAGGGAAAGGGGGGGTTACGAAATCTGTTGCATGCAGCCGGTTTCAGCCCCACCGAGGGGCCCATTCCTCGATACATGGGCGCCTCCCGGCGCCGGGAGGCGCCGAGAAAATCAGCTACGTGAGCTGATTCTGAAACACCCCCTTTGCTATTCCCCCCTTTCGCCCGGCCCGAGAGGGGGGAAAGTGAGAAGGGGCGGGCCTTCTCAGAAGGCTCGGAAGCCCCCCGGCCTTCTGAGAAGTTTTCTAAGCCTTCTCCGAAGACACTGAAAGCTTCTCAGAATGCGATGGGGGCTTCTGAGGAGTCCCGCTCCCGCCGCCTTCTGGGAAGGCCTTCCCCTTCTCATTCCCCCCGCTCGCCGCCAAGAGTGGAGGCAGCGGTCCCTGAGATCGTGGCATCGCATGTTTTCGCGCCGGGCGTTTTCGCTCGGGGTTTCGGGCCCCGGGGCCGCAGCGTATATCGATCCAGCTAAAAAAACGGCGCAGACATACTGCTGCTACCATCGCTGCTGCTGGTGCCATGCCCGAGCCCGCCACCTTACCGTTACCCCCTCATGTGGTTCCCAAGGGGGCCCCAGGGAAAGGAACTCTTGAGACGGGCGACGCCGATGTCTCAAGTCCGCTCGGCTTGCTCTGTAGGCTCGTCGCGCGGCGCTTCTACTCGCACTTCGGAGTCTCTATTGTTGTGGAGGGCGATCAATGGAGAGGAAGCATGTTGCCAATATATTTCCCAAATGTCTAGG